GAAGTGAAAAGACGAACGCAAACAATACCAAATACAAATATTAACACTCATGCATTTTAATACCCGTGTTTGTATTATGCATGTATTAAAATTTGCAGTCAGACAGAACAAGGTTTAAGAGGGGAGCGACAGAACAGCCGAAAAGAGATAACTGTATGAAAAATGAACAAGACATGACACCAACTGTAGGGAAAAAAAACCCAAACTGTATGAAAAATGAACAAGACATGACACCAACTGTCGGGGAAAAAAAAAACAATACAAATGATATGTATCCTTCATTGTCACGTAGGAGTCGAGTTCTATGTGGGGCAGTCGTGCTACACCCGAGGTAGACTGCAGGACAGACGTAGTAGTCTTGGTTGGGTAATTGTACCACTTGGGAGTGGCTTGGTTCTATCCCAAAAGTTGTAGTAACAGAGTACAAGTGAGGGTTCAGCTCAAGGAGTTCGCGAGGTCATAGGAGTTGTTTATAGTAATGAGGAGTAGGGATGTAATTATATCCAAATCTGACGATAGGATAATTATCACGATACTGAATAAAAAACGCATAATATTCTTTAAAAAAAAAGCTCATCATATTGATAATTAATTCAGATGATTAATAATAGTAGTGACAAATAAATAGGTTTGGCCAGTCATTTTATCGTCATGTGTTCTAATGGCTCAGCAGCAAAGCATCAGACTTATGTTGCACGCAGTGATGTGTTCGGCTGAAGCGGATGAAAACAAATGTTTTTTTGGATGGAAAAAAAAAATCAAAACATCCAGACATCAATCCAATGAAAAAGGAAAATAGAATCAAAAGGTACGATTTGGTGTCAAGATTATTTTATTGATGTGTTTAAAGGGCTAAAGTCGGATATTACAAAATCATACAAAAATCCCTAATCCTGGGAAGTTTCAGTACCTTTGAATTAGCACTGCTGCAATTGTTAAAAAAAAAGACAAAAAGAAAATGAGCTGGACACAAATATTTAACCCAGAGGGTCAATCATCATGTATGGTTTACTTGTCCTTGATTTGTATATCGTAAATCCAGCCTTGACCAAGTGTATTTGAATTAGCACTGCTGCAATTGTTAAAAAAAAAAAAAAAAAAAGAAAAGGAGCTGGACACAAATATCTAACCCAGAGGGTTAATCATCATGTATGGTTTACTTGTCCTTGATTTGTATATCGTAAATCCAGCCTTGACCAAGTGTGTCGCCACTGTTGTCACCCTTTCAGGACAGCGACCTGAAGCAGTACTGGATGCCCGACAGCCCGTGTAAGCAGTGCTATGACTGCAACGAGAAGTTTACCACATTCCGTCGGCGCCATCACTGCAGGCTGTGCGGCCAGATTTTTTGTAGTCGCTGCTGCAACCAGGAAATACCTGGAAAGTTCATGGGCTACACAGGTAAGCAGCGCGACAGATGAAGGAAAAGACCCACGTCATCCAGCATCATATGTACGCCTTACTGTACCATTTTCTAGGAGACTTGCGAGCCTGTACGTACTGTCGAAAAATAGCGCTCAACTACGCCTACTCAGCGGAGTCAGGCTCCATCGGCGAGGACCTGAACGTCTTGTCTGACTCTTCATGCTCTATGTGTGTGTTGGAACCCAGCGAGCCGCGGACGCCCGTGGGCGGACGCAAGGCAAGCAGGAATATCTTCCTGGAGGAAGACCTCACCTGGCAGAGGTGAAACCATTGTGAAGTCCTTTCACTTCAAGCACGACCAGCTGATTGCTTTCTCATAACATGCTATGTTTGGAAATGAATGGGAGGGGATCGATCAGCCTCCACAAGCACAAACGCTGTCAGAGTGGTGTTAGGGCGTCAGAGTGAATTTCCGAACTCACCCCATATTGACGGCACTGAATGAATCCCGGTTGCATTCAAAACGTGCGCTTTTATCTGCAGTAAAGTTTTTCCCTTCTTAGTGTAAAATGGCATACTTTAACTACTTTATATAATCCCCCATCTTATTGTGGCCAAAGGTGGTCAGTTAGTGCACCTTTTGCTGCTCTGAATGGTAAATCCTTGCAAACAGCAGAAGCCAACTTACGTCACACGTTAGTTTTCATGACTACTACTTCTTCCGTTCCTCCTCCTACTTCCTTTGGGTGGTTGACAACTTTTGGTGCACCTCCTTCTTTGACATGCTATGCAGAAGTTGGCTACCAGCAGGAATGCATGTCTACTACTTCTTCCATTTCTTCTTTTGTTTTATCGGTTGGCACCAAATTTTGGTACATTGCCACTGGTGGAAAGAAGATGTAGTGTAGTGTACAGAACCCGAACGTTAACCTAATTAGGTAACGGGGATTTTGGGTTCCAGTCCAAGCCCTAATTTTAATATGTACAATTCGCAACTGACTATCAGTCACAGGACCAGCCAAACTATGACAAGAAGTGTGACTTATGGTCCAAAAAATATGGAAGTTGTTTTTCCAACTTTCCAACGCTTCACATGAGGGGAGGGGATGTGGAGGCCCTGCCTCCACTTCCTGGCCTGACCGAATGTCCCCTGCTCCTGCCTTGCTCTTCGTTAAATTTATAAAAGGAGGAAGGGATGTGACAACTTCAGGAAATCATCTTTTTGTTAGATTGTGCATTCTTAACCACTTTGTTGATTGGCAGAGTTAAAGGTTTAATTTGCCAAGTACTGAACAAGAAAGACCTTGTCCTAGTCCAACAATGCATTCATTTTCCTTCACCACATTTGTCGTGCTTTGTTCGCATTGAGTCGGCGTACTTGCAGCTGCTTTTTTTTCCCTCTCTACTATCAACCTTCCTCAAAAGAAAATGTTTCTCTATCTTCATCTCTCTTTCTCTCCCTCTCTCTTTCTCGCTTCCCTCCTCCTCTCTTCTGGCCTAGAAAAACTCCCATTGGGATGAGAAAAACGTGAGTCTCGCCATTTGTTTTCTTCATTTCTTTTCAGCCCAGTGCTCTGTTTAGAGGAGTACATTGTAAATTGTTTTTCATGCTCACGCTAAATGGCCTAAGAGCACTTGGGAGGGAAGACGATGAGGGCCAAAAAAAAAAAAAAAACTGACAATAAAGTGTGCGTGTGCGTGTGCGTGTGCGTGTGTGTGTGTTGGTGTGCGTGCGTGTGTGTGTGTGTGTGTGTGTGTGTGTGTGTGTGTGTGTTTCGATGTGTGTTTATTAGCATGATCCATCAAGAACCACAGAAGAGCATTCTCCCTTCCAGACTCGCCACACTGCAAGAAGATGTGGGTAAATCTCCCACAAGGAAGAGGTGGGTCACGAGGAAGAGGTGGGTCAGTGGGCTCCCGGTCTATATTTGAATGATTAAAAAATGGGAGTTCAATGAGGGGCTTCGGCTATTGATTATAGACTGACATTGAAAGATTCCACCAACAGCTGATGAATAATTTCGCATTCATTAGAAATAGAAATCATTTTGTAATTCAAATATTGTATGGTGTGTATTCAATATTTATTATTAACAATATTCTTATTTATGTATTTATTTATTTCGAGCTGTATGTGGGATTGGTGTAATGATATATTGTGGCCCTCATCCTTACCAGTACATATATAGCAGCATAGTGATTTGGAGGAAGCCAGGTGGGATATAGTGAAGTAATCTACAACAATGAATTTGAGTTTTTAATCATTAGCTTTTTTCGCTGACACACGATACTTTGAGAAATAACAGGGTGTTATTTCCTTATTGTGAGACTTCTGATGTCCATTTTGGCTGTGCGCATTCTATTTGCTATCCCAGTGTGACGTCTTCACTGGCAAAAGTACAATTTCTAGTATCTAGTCAGGCTAGAAGTGACAAAAATAAACACATACTATCATGACCTGACCTTGTAGCTGCACCCTAGCGCTGAATGCTGCAGTATTAGACTCCATAGTCTCTGCTTGCATCTTCTGCTGTACCACTGCATTTTATTTCTGCCTTCAGGCTCCTCTACCAAAAAGTTTCCATGCCCTTTTATTCATTTGGGGGGACTTTTTTTTTTTTTTTTTTTTGATGATCCTCTATCAGGTCTGCCAGTGTCTCTAACCTGTCTCTAGACCGCTCTGGATCCATGGTGCCGTCATACGACAGCTCGGTCAGCCCCCCGACCACACGAGCCTTGTCGGGCGCCAAGAGTGTCACCAAATTGGACCATAGCGAGGAGGAGAGGAAGAACATTTTGGTGGTTTCTTCTTACTGCTGCACGGTTTGTTCCCTGGGTGCAGACATCACTGATGTCCTATGGGCTTGCCTTTCTTACAGGACTCATCGCAACTAAAGGACCTGTGGAAGAAAATCTGCCACAACAACACAGGGATGGAATTCCAGGACCACAGGTACTGGCTGAGGACCTACTCCAACTGCATTGTGGGAAAGGAGCTGGTCAATTGGCTACTGAGGAACGGCACCATCTTCAACAGGTACCAAGTCAACTGAAACGTCAAGTTACACAACTTTATACTCCCTTCGTTCAAATATAGTAAAGTCAAACATAAGCTCTATCTATGTCTATGGAAACAAATGTTAATACAATATTAACACACTTTCTCATACACAGTCCTACAATGTGTCATGTAAAATTACACACCTAAGTTGCATATATACAGTGTGTTCCAGCCATGTTCGCTGGAAAGCATTGACTTCATGGAATGTACACAGTTTGGTTGGCGTGACTTTGAAATCAGGATTTTTCCTGACAAATCTGTCAAGATGCACATTTCTCTCAGAGACTCAAGTATGTTTTTTCTTCCATGCTCTAGAGCAGAGGTGTCAAAGCCGAGGCCCGGGGGCCAGATCCGGCCCGCCACGTCATTTTATGTGGCCCGTGAAAGCAAATCATCAGTGTCAACTTCCTGTACCGAAATCTCAAATTGTCATACGTAATAAATAACGGTAACATTTTGCAATAAGTTTGTTACCCTGTTTACACTCACTTGAGCAATAATTGAACAAATACTGATTTCAAAACTAGTGAGCCATCATTTTTTTGTGTACAAGTAATAATACGATGTGATGATTTAAACCTTTATTTGGTTTCACTGTCGTAACGGCCCTCCGAGGGAAGGTGTAACTCCAAAGTGGCCCGCGACAAAAATGAGTTTGACACCCCTGCTCTAGAGGCTGTTCAGAGGAGTAGCCTGACGACGAAACATCATGTCACACGTTTTGTGTCATTTTATAGCTGCTGTAGAGTGATGTCACTGATCAACTCAACCGTGTTTGGAAATTAATGGGTGGTGTTGGGGTGTCAGGGTGAATTCCTGAACGCACACACACTGTGTTAAGAGCAGCAAATGAGTTCTGGTTGGACGAAAGTTAGGCTGCTAATTGCAGAAAAATTCTTTTTGATTTAAAATGGCTTACCTTAACTAGAATGCCATTAAAAAATAATAATAATAATAAAAAATCTTCAGGGCGCAGGCAATCGCCATCGGCCAGGCCTTGGTTGATGGCCGCTGGTTGGACTGCATCACGCACAACGACCAGCTGTTCAGAGACGAGTATGCCCTTTACCGCCCTCTGCAAGTGAGTAAAACTCCTCGGTGTTTTTCTCAGATGGTTTATCATACTGATGGTGCCTATCTGGTCTGCAGAGCACAGAGTTCTCAGAAACACCGTCTCCGGACAGTGACAGCGTTAACTCGGTGGAGGGGCATTCTGAGCCATCTTGGTTTAAGGACATCAAGTTTGATGACAGTGACACAGAGCAGCTTGCAGACGAATCGGACTACAACATATCAAGTATGTGTCACCTGTTCTTTCGGTTAAGCGGTTAATTTTGTTGGTCCACTTTCAACTCTGTGACTATGTCTTTCTGTCCAGGCTCTGCCAACCTCAGCAAGAGGACGTCCGTCAGCAGCTCTCAGTCCGTGGTGGACAGCGACTCGGCTGCCTCCATCAGCCTCAACATGGAGCACAACAATGTCAACTTCCACATTAAGAAGCAGTCCAAGTATCCCCATGTGCCTCCCACTGCTGACCAGAAAGGTGTGTTCAAATTACCATGCCTGAGGCTGCTCACTTGAAATACATTTCACTGACACTTAAGAATGACTGGCTGAGCCAATCTTGCGTGCATGTTGTCCCCATCACTTATAACTTTCTCTGTTTTTTTTTTTAGCTGAATTTCTCATGTCAGAGGAGGGAGGACAGAACATCGTGATCAGTGATGCCTTCATTAAAGGTAGTATCCTTCACCACACATATTAGTTTAAGCAAGCTACAAAACTAGCAAAGTCGACCAGTTCCAACGTGACTTGATGTTTCCTGTAGAGTCCTTGTTCAACCGACGTGTGGAGGAGAAGGCGAAAGAGATGTTGTTCACACCTCTCGGTTGGCACCACAGCTCGCTGGACCAGCTCAGAGAGGAGAACGGAGAGAAGAAGGCCATGGAGAGGCTCCTGTGAGTGGAGATGCACCAACAAAATCCACCTGAGCAATAAAAGTCGATACAAGATATACTGTAGATATCAATTATTCTGTTCAGGTGTAGCTATATTAAAACTAAATTCATACGCCCCTTTCTTAGGTCCGCCAATCACAGTCACATGATGGCACTGCTGCAGCAGTTGCTCTACAGTGAGTCGCTGTCGCTTTCCTGGCGCGACATCATTGTGCCGGTCGTCCGCCAGGTGGTCCAGACAGTGCGGCCAGATGTCCGGAACTGCGACGATGACATGGACATCAGACAGTTGGTTCACATTAAGAAGGTAAAGGAGCATGTGGGTGACAGAGGGCCATTTCGGACATTTCAGTGTGCCCAAGGGTTAATAAAACCTAATCTCTATGTTGGTGTTTAGATTCCTGGAGGGAGAAAGTTTGATTCAACTGTGGTAAATGGCTTTGTATGCACCAAGAACATTGCGCACAAAAAGGTAGGTCAGGTTTGTTTTCATTTCAAATTTCGTTTTGAAAGAAAGGGTGGTTTGCTTTTCAACGGAATTCTACTCCTATGGGAGTAATTGAACCTGAATTTGTACCAAAGTTCAAACATTCGGATCAACACTAACATCTGCTTACACAGTCATGAAGTCATTATAGTAAATATATGCAAGAAAGACAGTCCCAGGCCATGGATTTAAAAAAACAACAAAAAAAACAAAACAAAACAGTAAGTATGGCAGTAACTGAGCATGCTTTCTTGTGCTCTTTGATAACATATAGTTGCATGTTTGCGTAAAGTAGTTCATAACTGCGCACCATGTGTAACATCAGGACTGTCATAAACTGAGGAGTCCATGCAATACAGTAGGCTTACCGTGTCTGTTTCCCACTTGTCGCAATCCATCAATACTGAGGGTTGCGGATGAGTCGAACCCTATGAAAAATGTCATTTTGGCAACATGTTTTGATTGTACAAAATTGTCCTTACTATCAATACCACGTGACCTTTATCAGTTGTGTATTTTTTTTGTTTGTTTTTTTTTTTTTGTTTTAGATGAATTCCTATATTAAGAATCCCAAGATCCTCCTGCTGAAGTGCTCCATTGAGTATCTTTACAGGGAAGAAACCAAGTTTACTTGCATTGAGCCCATTGTGCTGCAGGTCAGTATTTGTTTGTTGCAACTTTTTTTTTTTTTTTTTTTTCTGCTGTACTTTCCCAGATCCACAGAAGATTTTTCTTTGTTTCAGGAACGAGAGTTTTTAAAGAATTATGTTCAACGCATAGTGGACGTCCGGCCAAACCTAGTACTGGTGGAGAAAACCGTGTCTCGTATTGCTCAGGACATGCTGCTGGAGCATGGAATCACCTTGGTGATTAATGTCAAACCGGTCAGTTACACATTCATGAGATCATACCGTTACCCCTCCTATTATTTATTTGGCTGTGTGTCTGTTCTCGGCTCTGCGGAGGGCTTGGTCTCTGTTAGTTATGACACAGTCAGTTTGTGGCTCACCATGGTGACATGCAGTATACGCTAACGCCCGCAACACTTAGTGTTGCAGATTATAAATAAATGAATAAACAAACAAAACATTACAGGTGAAATAGCTCAAACAGGTTGAAAATAGACAAAAATAATTGGTAGATAATTGTGATGTGTTTGACAGCACGTCAATTGCAGACACAATGTTGTCCAGCGTTCATGCTGTCCACTCGCCATCCCACCAATCGCCCCAATAACCGATCGGGGAAAAGAACCCCGGTGCTGAGTGAGACTGTCTATGTCCGTTTGAAGCATATTACCTCGAAATGCGTATGAATGGTAATTGGAGTTTTCGTGGCTCCGAGTTGCCTTTGTCATCGGTGCACGATTGTAAATGGTCCAATTATTTGATTGCAATAATTGTCTCAAAAGTGGTGTAGCAAAATGTACCATCATGGGACGCCCTGAACCGGTTGCCAGCCAATCGCAGCGCGCACATACCTGTAGACGAACAACCATCCCCACTCACACTCACACCGAGGGACAATTTAGAGTGTTCAATCAGCCTGCCATGCATGTTTTTGGAATGTGGGAGGAAACCGGAGTACCTGGAGAAAACCCACGCAGGCACGGGGAGAACATGCAAACTCCACACAAGAAGGCCGGAGCTGGGATTGAACCCACGACCTCTGCACTGTGAGGTCGACGCACTAACCACTGGACCACCGGGCCGCCTTGAACCATAATTCAAATGCTTGATATTCATTACATTTTTATGTATTAATATCATGATATTTCCTTTTTTAATGATGATTTTTCTTTCATTAACAGCGCAGTACCAAAATATTTTGACCACATGTGTATGTGAATTTGTGAAGACCAGACCGCAAATTGGTGAGGTTTCACGCTTTTATTTATTTATTTATTTTTCAATTTAGCAAGTGTTGGACAGAGTGAGTCGAATGACCCAAGGTGACCTAGTGATGTCCATGGATCAGCTCCTTACCAAGCCTCGGCTGGGCACCTGCCACAAGTTCTTTATGCAGCCCTTCAACCTGGCCAACGGTGAGTGTTTACGTTCTCTCTTTCAGTCAAGGTAAATGTCTCTCATTCAGCCAGTGTGAAACATTGGTCGGACTGTGTGTGTGCTTGCTCACAGATGATGTCAAGACGTTGATGTTCTTTGAAGGCTGCGCTGCCCACCTGGGCTGCTCTATCAAGCTGCGTGGCGCCTCCGAATACGAGCTGGCCCGCGTGAAGGAGATCATCATGATGATGGTGTGCGTGGCCTATCACTCACAGCTGGAGATCTCCTTCCTCATGGATGAGTTTGCCATGCCACCCAGCTTGGCCCAAAGTGCCTCCTTCCCCTGCCTGCTGGATGGCATGTCCCCAAAGGGTGAGGCGAATGCCGAGCAGACGGATGAGGAGAGACACGACACAACTGTGAGAACTGATGATGATGGTGCAACATCTGGAAATCCAGAGGATGAGACATTTCCCCGTGGATTGGAAATTAGCCAGGACCATCCAAGGAGATCTGCTTCCTCTCTCGAAAGTGAAGAAGGTGGAATCAAAGAGACTATGACTTCTTCACCTTTTTCCAGCCCTCCTGCTCCTCCTTTGTCGGTATCTCCGCCCTTTCTAATGGAAGAAGATCAGCAGCTGACAGCGAACTCATTCGGGAGGACAGCTGATGATGAAACATCGGAGCGAGAAAACCAGGAAAAGGAAGAGATGGAAAGCACTGAGGATAAGGGCTCAGAAATATCGACACTCAGGTTGTTCCGAGACCCCCTGCAGGACGACACGGGCCTGTTTGTGGCAGAGCAGGTGACGTCGACCGATGACCGCCTGAAGTCCATCTCTGCCGTCTTCAAGCAGGAGCTGAAGGACATCATCTTGTGTATCTCACCCTTCATTACATTTCGAGAACCGTTCCTCCTCACGACTGCTGGCATGCACTGCCCCAGCAGGGATTACTTTCCCGAAAAGGTATCTAAATTTTGTCTTATCACAGCAATATATTTCATAAAAGTACACCAAAAATGGTTTGTCCGACTTAAATGAATATTGCATTGGGTGGTGATCATTCCTGTGTCAACATGTTAATAAACTTTGTCTGTGGTCATTCTCACTTGTGCCTTCCATACAACAGGTTTACCATTCCCCCCTCATCAACAAGGACTTGAAAGAACTGGATGGGCGCCGGAAGCGCCAGCTCCTCAAAGATTCTGCGTCCTCCTCGCTGGTCGGCAGTCAGACAAACGGTGTCACTCCATTGAAGCCCATCGACGTCCTTCCGTGCCACGGCCTCACTAGCACCCGTATCGTTGAGCAACTGAGCAGCAGCCAGGATCTCGCTAATATGCTGGCAGAGTACAGAGCAAAGGGGGGGCGAATTCGACACAGGGAAGCCAGTGACCCCTTCAATACTGTCAGCGCAATCGGTCTGGTGAACGGACACAACAGAACTGAGGAGACGCCCTCGCCATCCATCAAGGGCCCTGTGAAGGCCGACAGTGAAGATGACAAACCAAGCAAGCAGAGTGAGATGAGCTTGGCCCCTAAGGTCAGGAAGGCTCTGTGGTTCCAGACTTCTTTTGGTTTTGTGTTATCTTGTTGATAAATTTTGTTGGTTTTGTTCTAGATGGACTGTCTAACGCCTGTCAATCATCAGCGACTGTGCGTGCTCTTCAGCAGCTCCTCGGCTCAGTCTAGCAACGCTCCAAACCCCTGCGTCAGCCCCTGGTAAACTCCTCGACTGGATCATAACCACTACAAGTACTCAAAGTTGTGTTTTCATGACTTTAGTAGTAAACTAAATTTGTCGACAACAGGATTGTCACCATGGAGTTCTACGGAAAGAATGACCTCTCACTTGGTGTATTCTTGGAGAGATACTGTTTCAGGTAAAACGATTGTAATGTGTATAAAAACAGAAACTGAACAAAATCTGATTTTTCTTTTCCTCCAATTTCAGCAGATGTGCTGTAGCGCTGCCTTATTAATTGAAATGCACTTGGGTGGAACCGAAGGTTGACACTGATTGATGTGTATTTTAAAAACAAATTCCCATTGGAGAAAACTCAAACTGTTGCCATGATGGTACAGGAAATGTGCTGTCTTACAAATTTACAAATAAATTACCAACAGATTCATTCAACAAAATTCAGTAATCCTATGATAGCCACTGAGGGTAGGGGCTGAGCCCTGCTACAAATGGTGAGGGGGAAACAAAAAGGAATTTATCCCCATCCCAAAATATCGCTGAAGAACTTTGGAATTTTGTTAATTAAATATTTCTATAAGGGTGGCCCGGTGGTCCAGTGGTTAGTGCATTGTCCTCACAGTGCAGAGGTTCAATTCCAGCTCCGGCCTCCCTTTGTGGAGTTTGCATGTTCTCCCCGGGCCCGCGTGGGTTTTCTCCGGGTACTCCGGTTTCCTCCCACATTCCAAAAACATGCATGGCAGGCTGATTGAACACTCTAAATTGTCCCTCGGTGTGAGTGTGAGTGTGGATGGTTGTTCATCTGTGTGTGCCCTGCGATTGGCTGGCAACCGGTTCAGGGTGTCCCCAGCCTACTGCCCGAAGACAGCTGGGATAGGCTCCAGCACCCCCCCCACCCCGACCGTTGTGAGCATAAGGCGGATCGCTGAGCAGCCAGACCTTTTCTTGTGTTAATATAGGTGCAATTTCAACCTCTATGCTTTTCCAACACAATTTTTTTGTGCTTCCCTTCAGGTCGTCTTACCAGTGTCCCAGCATATTCTGTGAGACTCCCATGGTGCACCACATCCGCCGTTTTGTGCACGGCAACGGCTGTGTGCAGATTGTGCTGAAAGAGCTCGACTCTCCTGTTCCCGGTTACCAGCACACCATTCTCAATTACTCCTGGTGCCGAATCTGCAAACAGGTCGCGAATAATAATAAAAATAAGAGTAATAATAACTTTCCCTTGTGTGTTCTAATCATGCCTCCCGTTTTCAGGTGACCCCTGTGGTGCCGCTGTCCAATGACTCATGGTCAATGTCTTTTGCCAAATACCTGGAGCTACACTTCTATGGCCACCAGTACACTAGGCGGGCCAACGCTGAGCCCTGCGGGCACTCCATCCACAAAGACTACCACCAGTACTTCTCCTACAACCAGATGGTGGCCTCCTTCAGGTAGGTCACAAGCCTTCACTCGGTCCAACTTAATGCCTTCCATCCAGTAATTCAGTGAAACATCTGCTTTCAGCTACACATCTGTGAGGCTGTTGGAGATCTGTCTTCCCCGTCCCAAAATTTTGATCAGGAACCTGGGGCCTTCCAAAGCTATCTTACAGCAGGACCTTAAAGACTTTTCCCTCAAGTAAATCAACCCTCCAGTCTGCAACATATTGTGGATGTTTATCACAAAAATAAGCTGAAATCAACACTAACTTGATTCAGTAGTATCACGAAAGCCTTTCAGCCATCAGTTGTCAACAAACCTGTCAAAACATCAAAGGAGTAACTGAAGATGCATTTCATTATTAGCAACATGTTTAAATGAACATGGTGGCCAGCTATATTACTTGTTTGTTGTTATTTTTTTAACCCTTTCAGCTTTGCTAATTAACCACACGACCTAATATAGCTTCTAAGGTGTCATTCTGTCACACTGTCAGTAAATCTTGAATAGTTAGCAATCGCGTCAATTATTATATTGGTCAGAGACTTTCTGGTGGCAGGTTTTTATTATTTTGGCTGAGATGCAAATTTTCCTGACAAAATATCCAGAATGTTCCTGAGAGGTGATGATAGAAGTTGGCATCACTGGGCCTTAGCGGTTCCCCTGTATATGTCTTCTACTGTACCAAATCATTTTGAATGCGTTATCCACTAGTTTCTTGTGTCTCTGATCTCAGAGTGACGCAGGTCTACTTGGCCATTGACGATCGCCTCACTTCCTTGAAGACTGAGACCTTCAGTAAGACTCGAGAGGAGAAGATGGAGGACCTCTTTGCCCAAAAAGACGTAAGCCCTTTGTCTCTTCCTTGTTTATTTCCTCTCCCTACTGCTTTTTAATGTAGCCAGTGGCATTTTTCTGTGTGCAGATGGAGGAGGCTGAGCTGCGCAGTTGGATTGAGAAGCTCCAAGCGCGATTTCAGGTCTGTGGTTTGGATTCTCCGCAGCAGCTCCAGGCAGTGCTCGAGTCTCTAGTGATGAAGAAACAGAGCCTCTGTGAGATGCTCCAGTCGTGGAACAGCAGGTCGTAGTCGTGGCTGCTCTTGACCAATGTCACATATCCTAGCATGTCGCTGAGTTCCTCCACTCGTGCCCTCCTCAGGCTGCAAGACCTGTTCCAGCAGGAGAAAGGCCGCAAGCGTCTGTCAGTCCCCCCGAGCCCAGGCCGTCACCGGCAAACCGCTGCTGATGACAGCAAGGTCAGTGTGGTATGTTCAGTTACTGACAATATGTTTTCATGACTTGATGCCCTTTTTTTTGTTTGAATGACAGAGCACCCTGGACTCCTCACCACGTAACCCCTCGCCGGTGGTGCAGAATGGCGACAAAGGTAAGTCTTCCATCTTGTGTGAAATCCTGTTCAGCAAAGCCAACCTTGGAAGATTTCTTTTTGAACAGAGGACCGTCTCCTCAGTACACTGCCCTCCACATCCTCCTCCTCGACTGCGTTGCTGTCGCCCGGGGAACCTGGAGCCGAGCCGAACACGCCCGGCCCTTCCATCATAGAGCCGGACTCTGTCAGCATCCCAGAAGGTAGAGATACGCAAGACAACTTACAATTCCCGTTTGGGAAACGACTTTATGCTAAAATGTTCTGCATTTTCCGGGGTCACTAGACGTGTTTGACGGACACTTGCTGGGTTCCACTGACAGTCAGGTGAAGGAGAAGTCTACAATGAAAGCTATTCTGGCAAATTTTCTGCCGGGCAACAGCTACAACTCTATTCCCTTTCCATTGTGAGTATTGCAATCACCACTTGATGCCACAAAAAAAAAAAAGTTAATATTTTATTTGGAATATTTTCTGTGGGTGAATGTGTTGAAGTTTTGTTGAAACTGTATTGGAATGCATAAAAAAATCCATCCGAGGTCTAGTGAGAATTTGTAGGTTGAAGTGAATTATTTAGCATATTTTTATTTAAACTAGGACGTGTATCATTAACACGTATAATTTTTTTTTTTTAAAGAAATTAGTGTTCCCTCACTTTTTTTTTTTGTCTGGTCCAGTGCATAGATGCATCACGGCTGTCTCCAAATATGCATTCCTCGCTTATGCTGAACTCAAATAATTGGATGATAAGGAACCAAATAGCGATCTGGCCAATTAATGCGCTGAACATAATCAATACCTGCTTCAGTTATGTAAAATACTGAGGTGTGACATCACTTTCTGTGTCGCAGTGACCCAGACAAGCATTACCTGATGTATGAACATGAACGGGTACCCATTGCCGTGTGCGAGAAGGAGCCAAGCTCCATCATCGCCTTTGCGCTCAGGTGACCACTCTTATATACTGTATATATGCATATATATTTAAATACCTGAGTATTGTTGTTCCTGGCCACAGCTGCAAGGAATACAAAACAGCTCTCGATGAGTTATCCAAGATGTCCAACGCAGGAGCGGACGAGGTGTCACAAGCCAACAGGTTTGTCCCATTTGCTGTTCTGTGAAAACTGGTATAATGATCCATTCAGAGAAGGAAGTGTTCATTAACTTCCTAACTTCTGTCGAGTAGCGGAGAGAGCCGAGCCAAGGGCAGCCCCGCCAGGCTCGGCGATTCATCCATGCAGAGTCGCAACAGCTCAGAAGCCGACCCGTCCAGTGAGTGTTGATGTCTGCATGCGTTCATCATCAGCCACTTGCGTGTGATGTCATCTTTGCTCACTTGTCTTACCTGCAGAGGATGCTGATGTGGCCGATAATCAAAAGAAGCAATCTCAGAATCCCCATATCGAACTGCGTAAGTTTGGTGTTTTGTTGGTTTTTCACTATTCGCACATGTTGCAATTTTCTCATTTCAAGCTGAAGTCATTGCCGCTCCCTCTGTTTAGAGTTCTCAGACGCCAACGCCAAGTTCTACTGTCGGATATACTACGCGGACGAGTTCCACCGGATGCGGGAAGAGATCTTGGAGAGTGCTGAGGAGGATTTCATCCGCTCGCTGTCTCACTGTGTCAACTGGCAGGCACGTGGCGGAAAGTCTGGAGCGGTCTTCTATGCCACGGAAGGTCGGACCACTGACTATTATAATTCCTTCCAGAAAAAGAACTGACACATAAAATGAGAGAATTAAAAGCAAAGTCAAACCATATAATTTGTTTGAACAAAGTCCACTAGTTTAATGCTATCATAACAACATAGATGTATAGCTATGCTAGCATAGGTAGTTATAAACCTTCAACTACAACTTTAACACAAGTGGAGCAACATCACAAACGACAGAAGAGAATTACATTTTGTATATTTGAACACCCAAATAATAGTGTATACTCCACAGGCTTATATTCTTTCTTTTAGTAGTGGACCTGTCTGCTTTTTCTCATTACTTGATTACGCTGCATCTACATCCAGGAGAGCTCAGTGCTGCGTGGCATGCTGTGGCACAAAATTCTGCTACACCGAAAGCCCGCAACTCTAAATTCGGACTTGCCTGTAAAAACCCAATTTTTAAAACTGGTTGCTTAAAAACAGCCACATACTGTAGCAGAGGTCTGAAAGATGAACCACGATATAGGAGAGGTTAACTGGTTATCAATTCATAAAAATATGAGCGCTGAATGAAAATTTATGTCAAGAGAAAAGGAAAAAAAACAAGGCTGGCTTGAAAACTAACTAACGTCCACACACACACAACCACATCAGGGTCTACCTGCAGGGGTATCAAAACGTACGGCCTTCCCGGCCCGCAAGCGACTTTAATCCGGCCCCTGGGATGATTTGGTAAAGTACAAAAATAGTACGGTCCAACTGAATAAACAGAGTCGCCAAATGGCCGATGATAGTTGTACACACGACACAAGTAAAATGTGTCTCTAAACTTATTTTACTGCACTTTTATCATAAACTTGACTCTCAATGGGCAATATTGACAGCGGTTCTTTTAAATTATATATCATGATTTTACCGGTCCCGCCCACTTGTCGAATACATTTTGCTCTATGTTGCCCCTGAGCTAAAATGAGTTTGACACCCTTGGTCGACTGGAATGCTAATCAGCATTAGAAACCCTTTACACATCTTGCAAGATGATTTTTTTTTAATACTGTGCAAGGAACTTGTTTACAAAATGTTGTAAAACTCCATACTTTAATTCATTTGAGAGTCAGGACATTTACTTGTGGACATTTTATGTTGTCTATGGACCAAGACAATTACCCTTTTATTTGTTTATTTTAACAGCCATTATGTGTACCACATTGTTAGGGTACCGAAATTGAGACATTAACCCTTTCATACAACCTGTAACCTGATAAACTGTCCATTGTAGTAACCACTGTCCCCGAAAGGGTGAAGAAACAAGGCAGTAGATTGGTCATTTCCAAAATGGGTGAAGACACACAAAAATAGCTTATCATTTTGTAATAAAGAGCATGTGTCAAGTAGTCCATGGTTTATTTGGTTCTATTGCAGCCCAGGACAAGGTACCTCCCTTCCGTCACATCTGGCTCATCCACACTCTCTGACTCGCCTTTGCAGTGTTCATGTTGTACCAATGTCATTTGTCACTTGTTGCCAAAATATCGCCAGACTTTGCTAATGTAGAAAAATTATGCGATTTGAGATGTCCTTTCCGTCACTGTTGAGTAATAGTGATATCATTTTAGCGTGTTTAAATGCTTCTAAGTTTGTTTAAAACGTGTATTCCCTATTTCTAACAATATATGCAGTACATAAATAGCAGCTTTTTGAACAAGACCAATTAATGCTTCATACATTAAATTAATAGTGGAACACATCTGAAACAAAATTAGGATTTATTCTAATTTGGTGTGCGGTACTTGTTCTTTGAGATTAGAACATCATCTTCTTCTCTGTTTCAGATGACCGCTTCATCCTGAAGCAGATGCCCAGACTGGAAGTCCAATCCTTCCTGGACTTTGCTCCCCACTACTTTACCTACATCACCGGCGCTGTGCAGCAGAAGGTGTGCATCACAAGCTAGCAAACAGACGCGTATTCTCTCTGTTGACCAATACGTTTGTGTCACAGAGGCCGACTGCTCTGGCGAAGATTCTCGGCGTTTATCGCATCGGTTACAAGAACTCTCAGAACAACACTGAGAAGAAACTGGACCTGCTTGTGATGGAAAACCTTTTTTATGGACGCAAGATGGCTCAGGTAAGTCAAGTCTGATTAAATGTCCTGGGAAATGTTATTTTCGTGGGGGTGATGGGTAAACATTTAATAAGCATGTGACTTCCCTTAGCATTCAAATAGTTGAATGCGATGGACAGTGGTGTGAAATTCAAAATGACAAAGTTGGTTCTAGTGTTCTTTGAAATCAATATACCGTATTGGCCCGAATATAAGACTGTGTTTTTTGCATTGAAATAAGACTGAAAAGGTGGGGGTCGTCTTATATTCGGGGTCTAGACATTATACCCATTCACGACGCTAGATGGTGCCAGATATCATTGAAGCGAATGCTGAACTTGACTCCCCAGGCCAAAGTGAACCCCTGTCACGAAGAATAAAAATAAAAATAGCGGTAGCACGAAGAAGAAAAATAAAAAAATACCGGTAAGAAAGAAAAGAGAAGAAAATAATAGAAGAGATAACAGAAAATGGAGAAACGTAGCAACAATCTCGAGAAAAGTGGGTCGAAGATCGGCCAGGTTAACCGGCAGCTGAGGAGAAGTTATGATGTAATTTACATTTCAAAAACCAGAAGCCATTCATTTACGAATGTGATTGCACTTTAGTTTACATATTTAAATGTTCAGATATTAAGATTTGAATGAGGCAAAATAACATGCTTTTTCTCTCAAATATACTAATGTTGGTTATGGCAAATGCCAATTGTCGGCTGCTCTGCCAAAGTAAATCGAGTTCTCGTTTTGGCGCAGTCCAAATGAATGAGAACTTAAGATGTCCTCATTGCCCCTTGAAAGGTATTCGACCTAAAGGGCTCGTTGCGAAACCGCAACGTGAAGACGGACTCGGGCAAGGAGAGCTGCGAGGTGGTGCTGCTGGACGAGAACCTGCTCAAGCTCATCTACGACAACCCCCTGTACATCCGCTCGCATTGCAAGTCGGTGCTGCGCGCCGCCATTCACAGCGACGCCTACTTCCTGTCCAGCCACCTCATCATCGACTATTCGCTGCTGGTGGGACGCGACGACACTACCGATCAGCTAGTGGTCGGGATCATCGGTAAAAAAAAGAACTAGTAACGGCCGCGCTCAAGTTTTTGTCGCAATCTCATACGGTGTCTCCTTTCACAGATTACATCAGGACTTTCACTTGGGATAAAAGGCTGGAGATGGTCGTCAAATCCACTGGAATTCTCGGAGGTCAAGGTAGTGCTCGCTTTATATTAAACCGGTGCGCTACTCAAACCTAAGCTCGTTTTTTGGGTTGAATGAAGATGAAACAGAGTTGGTCCTCAATCACCGGCATGAAACAGAAAAATAAAGTAGATCCAAAACTTTTTGAGTTTGTGACAAGGAAATGACTGACTGCCTACCCTAGTAGAGACCTGACACGGAGGCATGGGACGCACTTTTGCAGCGTGTCTAGTGCAGAACATCATTATTGTAGCTCACGTGTACTGTTGTAAAATACTTCTCCTGACGCTTCAGATTCCCATTCTTTGCCAGTGCCATCGGTGAATTGCAGATGAAACTTGAAATGAGAGTAATAAAAAAGATATATCGCAACAGTTCTGATCGCAAGCTGCAATTGCAGACGGCTGACCGCTAACAACTTTCGGTGATGCAGGTCACGTGCCACTGTAGGTTAAAGGTAATCTTTTGTGAGAGTGAAACTGATAGGATGCTTCGGGTGCAGTATACAGTAACACAACAATATATAATATTCATAACACAGCTACATAAATCTTTTAATTTTTTTCCATTTCTCCCTACACCCCTTGCGATCGACTTGGGACCAGTCCACTCGATCGTGATAGACTGGTTGGGCAGCCCTGATGTAGGCTGAAGACTTACAGATAAAGTATCTGTGCTAGCAAATCTACAAAGTGTAAAACATGAAACAAGAATGGATGGAGGACACCATGGTGGAGGTGACTGCTCAAAAAAAACCAAACAAAAACAAAAAAAAAAAAAAATGCACCCAGATGCTCCGCAGTGGTAATTGCAAACGATTGTGTGGATGGAGGAAAGCAAACACACTCCACTGTGTAGAAGAAAATAGGAACAGCACATCACCATCAAAACTTGATCCCAACCGTGAAGTTTCATAGTTTGGGACTGCTTTCCTCCTCACTCAGGGCCTGGATGCCTCACTATTTTTTAAATTTTTTTGTGTTTGTGTTTGTCTAATCTTGTTACTTGCAATATCAGTTGTCCTTTCAATGACTGATTCATGCAGAAATCTCTCTAATTCCAAAGTGTTCACATTCTTTTTCGAGCAACTGTAACTAAGCACCACAATGTCATTCTGCAGGGAAGATGCCTACAGTCGTGTCGCCCGAGCTGTACCGCGCCCGATTCTGCGAGGCCATGGACAAATACTTTCTCATGGTGCCCGACCACTGGACTGGATTGGGTGTCAACTGTTGAGCAGGACACACCCCTGGGATGCTTGAAAACAAGGTTCAACATTTCATGTAAGCTGGGAGCATTTTATAAAATTGTATTTACCAACAGACGAGCATGTCACCATTCCGTACAACACAAGCGATATTCCAGATTTTTTTTTTTTAATGAGTGCACTATTGTGGAAATCAGTCATTATTTTATCTTGTGGACCGTTGATGATGCTGTCATAGTTTACTACTGTAATTTAAAGTTTGAATATGTACAGAGATTATGTAACTATTAAAACATTGTTAACATTGATTTATAAGTACGTATGATTTTTTTTTCTGGGGTGGCAATAATTTATGTTTGAGCAGTGCTTGGCAAAGTACGGCCGAAGGAACATAAAAATGGTACACTCCATTCTTTAATCCAGCCCACCAAGCATTTACATAAAGTGTCCTGAAATATTTGTCGCATTTTTTCGGCAGTGTTTTTCCCCCCTGAAATTGATTTATTAAAATGCTTAGTATATACAGGCAGACTTGGGGCAGAAGAAATATACAGGCCATACCACAAGATGCAAACCACTCATCAGCAAGAAGAATCGGAATGCCAGCTTGGATTTTACAAAGAGATGAGCCACACAAGTTTTGGACCAAAGTTGTATGGACTGATTAACCCGCTTCAAAATGGATGCAAAGGCCAAACTATGAATGGCTTCAAAACACACTAGCTCATCCATGAAGCATGATGGCGGTCATGGCATGGCTTGGGCTTGCATGGCTGCTTCTGGAACGGGCTCACTAGTCTTTATTGAGGATGTAACTCATCATGGTAGCAACAGAATGAATTTCTGAAGTCTCCAAACCCATTTTGTCGGGCAGTTTTCAGAAAAATGCATTCAAACAAATCAGGAAAAGTTTCATTATGCAACAAGTCAGTGACACTGCCAACACAACAAAGGACTTCATCAAAAGTGGAAGGTCAAGACAGGCCAAGTCAATCACTGAACATTAACCAAATAGAGCATACATTTAAGTTTGGTTTTGTTTTTTGTTTTTTTAATTATTGGTTCAGAAATTCTAATTGCAATGTAGTTAGAAAAATCAGGAAGTATTTCAATTAAATATTTTTACATGCTGCATTCAGCATCATATTTTCCTAAAATGAGTACATAAATTTAGATTCATTTATACATTTGTCCACGGCGATTGGCTGGTGACCAGTTCAGCCTACCGCCCAAAGACAGCTGGAATGGGCTCCAGCATACCCATGACCCTCGTGAGAATAAACAGTTCAGAAAGTAGTGATGGATATCTATTTAATTGAGTAAAATAATACAATATATGTTTTGCCAAATGCGTTGGTTTTTTTTTTTTAATGGTACCCAAATGAGTTTCTGTTTTGTAGTGTACACTTCTGGTTGAAATTTGAAATTACCGACGAAAGCCTCTAAAAGTTAGAGTTGGGGTGTGACAATTACAATTGAAGATAAAACCTATCTTTAATAGTATTTAACACAGCTGAAGTAAAGAAGTAATTTAAAAATATATACTGTACAATGATAAGAGTCCGCAAATAATGAAATTGTATGCCCACTGAAATGTATTTGAAAAAAAAAAAGGTACACCCCTCCAAAAAAAAAACCTCATTTAAAAAAAAATAACCCTAATAACCCCCCCCCCCACCCCCCCCCCCCCCCATTAAAACAAATACAATTATTGGTGGCTGAAAGAAATCAGCGAATAAGTGAGTATATGACGTTTCACAAATTTCTACAATTAAGCAGGAAATTACAAGAAAATCAATCTAGAGTAATTTGCAAGATTTAATTACTTTTAAAAAATAGACTACCATTGCTGACAAAGATCCTTTTAAAATATATGAAAAAAAATCACAGAGACATTTTAAGTGAGAAAAAGACAAAAGCAAAACTGCAGCACGTTTATTTAAATTTTTTTTCCAAAGTGTACCATTCATATATAAAAACGGTGAAGGGTGGTCATACTGCATCAGGAACTGCTTTGAAAATCACCCGGAGTGACGATTGTCCCGACTCGTGAAGCTCCTCTTTGTATTAAAACCACACATTTCACACACTTCAACATGTATTATGCATTAAATTAGGTTCTTCTTCTTCAAAAGAAAAATGTGTCCGTATGGCCGAGAGTTATACAAAGCTTGGAAATCAACGTGATACAAAAGAGTGCAGTACTCATATCAGCAGTTCCGCCTTGAACAAATTTTACGACCAACAAATATGTCCATCAGCTCATAGCCCAGAAAAAAAAAATCCGAATTTAAATTGAAATATTGTCACTGTAAAATACAATTTTTTTTTGTTTTTTTTAATTCACATAAAAATGACAATTGGAGCTATTTCGACAGTCATTTACATCATGTTGCTGTTCAAATCTCCAAGGAAGGAACATTTGGTTTATTCTAGTAGTCGTTTGGCTTTATTTGATCGGATAGTGAATGCTTGCTTTCGAAACCCTGCGGGTCAGGCTGAGTCTGTTTGTCGTCTTTGTCAAAACAATGGACAAAAACACACGCAAGTATCATACTCAAGACTTTCTAAGAAGGAAATGCAATAACAGATTTGAAAGGTGTACGAAGGAGCATTAGGGCCACACTGAAAAGAAGAGAACAAAAAAAAAAACAGTTCAAAAATCTAATGTTTTGGTAAAATTAACGAATTAAAATCCCGTTGGGGGGGAAGAAAAAAAAATATATATATATATTATATATATGTAAAATTTTATTTTTGCGAACAACCAAAACAAAAAAAAATCCCTCATTTGGGATTGTACAGTCCTGTGTAAATGAAAAATGTTCTCATTGTTGAGACGTCTACCAGTAGCTAGGCAGTAACTAAGGAAAAAAAATTATAACGTATAATATCCAGACTTTTTTTTTTCCACATTACATTTTTTTCCCTCCTATAATGACCAGAAAATCCTGTGAATACCACTCATTTAAAAATAATGTTAAATGATCCCAAATTTGGAGGGCAATTATACAGTGCTGTATAAATAAAAAATGTTCACATTAATGACCAGAAGCTCGACAGTACCTGGCAGTAAAAAAAAAAGAAATAATAAAATCATAGAATCACTGATTTATAGCGCATTACATATTCACATTTTCGCATATTGTAATTAAAAGTACCGTATTCTGCGCACTGTAAGGCGCACCTAAAGGCATTAAATTTTCTCAAAAGCCGACGGTCCGCCTTATAATCCGATGGGCCTTATACATGGATAAATATTCAATTTTTTTTAGACGAAGTATTTTAAATGTTTTGTAAAGGGCTTTGTTCCAGCTGCAGCGGTTGTGAAAGCTCGACATAAATAAAGCTGTATTGTATTGTATTCCCTTTAGCGTAGCTCCATCTAGTATCTAGCATTGCGCAACCGCAACCACTATTGTAGCTTCTATTCTATGCGCCTTGTAATGGCCTGCGTGCTATATATGAAAACAGTTTTAAAGTTGGTCATTCTTTGAAGAAGGTGCGCCTTATATTCTGAAGTACCTTCTCGTGCGGAAAATACGGTCCATTTAAAATCAGTTCTGGCGTTAAACAGACTGAAAAGCAAAGAAAAGCCATTTTAAAAATACACCTTACTTAAATTACTCCAAAGTGCGTGAAGTGCAAGAAGAAGATTTTCGAAAACATGTTTTTTGAACGACCTTAATCAGAGGTATGGCAAACGAGCGCAGTTTTTAACCTGGATTGACAACCAATTACACTTGATTGGTATATCTTTCTTCATTCTTATTCACTCGAAAAAAAAAAAAATCTTTTTAGGGTGACTGGGGGAGTGGAATGGGGGGGAGGGGTCACATTAGTCACTGCTCTGATCTTTCTTCATTCTTATTCACTCGAAAAAAAAAAATCTTTTTAGGGTCACATTATTCACTGCTCTGTGCTGTTCACAGGATTTTACGGCTTTTTTTTTTTTTTTGGAGTGTGTCCATAATGCTCCTTGGTAAGAGTCCCAACACCCATCACATCAATGACGACAATGAAATGTGCTAGTTGTGATTGGGGTGACATTTTAACGTTTATGTACTATTTATCTTTTTTCCAGTAAAAATTGTTGATTTAAAAAAAAAAAGCAGACATCAAGGCACACATTTAATGGCACATTGCTGGTAGGTAGTCACGCGGAGGCTTTCCATTGAAGTGTTGGCAGTTTGTGTGTACCATCGTGTCAATAGAAATGCATTTCGAAATAATGTCAGGAGAACCTGCGCGATGAACGGGAATGTTTTCGGCAAAATTTTTGTCTTTTTTCAAGAGGCTAACCTCGGCTAACCCTGATTCGCAAATGTCGAAGCGAGAAAGTGTGCACACATTTTGGGAATCTTTCTGACACAACCGGTCACCGTTTGTGCTTCAAGTAACAATAAAATAAATAAAAGCAACGTACACTCGTTACAATATTTCCGCCATTTTTCATCTCGGGATTTCTAACATGCTCATTTTTCAACTTTTTGTAAAATTATGACATTGTTCTTTTAGGCGTAAGATTTTTTCTTTTAAATGACAGCTTTCTCACTATAATTACATTTATTCTTGCAAAATCAAGATCGCTTTTTTGTTGTAATATTTCAACTTGAGTGAATTTTTAAATCCCAATCAAATGTTTGTAAAATTACAGTTATGATTTTTCTTTCTGTAAAAGTAGGACTTTGTAGATTCTAATAAAAACAAAATTAGCAATTTTTTTACTCATAATTTCATGACCTTGTAAAGTGATGAACTGTTCTGACTTGCTTCTGGCAAGTGATTTTTGACGTTCTTCATTATCTTCAACTTTGTCATGAAATTGTGACATTTGGTATACTACAACAACATGTTGCGTAACAAATATTCTTGGAAAATGACCACCACCTTTTCTGTGTTTTGAAATATTATAACCACTCAGATTTTTGTTTCAAGGAACGAGTCGACTAAGCCTCCTTTTGTATTAAAACATTAATGGACCCAGTGCCTACGCCACATCTTTCCAGTGAATATTAAGTATCAACATTATGATGATTATTGTGTAAAAAGCTGATTATTTAGCACATGAAACAAAAATATCAAAACAGCTAAAATCACATTGACCTTTTCACTTTGTTTTGTACAAAATAAAGACCATCAAAAATGGCTTCTTCTCGCTTGTAAAGACAGAACTGACCGGGAGGCGAGTCGTGCCACCGCCCCGAGGCCGAGTACCGAGGTCAATTTGGATTTGAGCACCCGTGTGTAGAAAGGAGAAACTGCAACATGCAAATGACACGCCTCAACTTCTTCTTCTCGGAAAGTGGGCAAAGAGAAGAATTCCGCTGACCGGCAAGGGTCAGAAAGTTTCCGAATCCTCAGAGTCATTCTCTGTGGTGCCCTCACTGGAAGGTCCGGAGGGATTCCTGGCGCGGCGCGGGTCCCGTGGGGCGGCGGCCGCGGCAAGGTCTTTGTGCACCTTAGGGGGCAGCAGCCTCAGTAGGGCGCCAGGGGAGGGGGCGCCGGAGCTGCAAGGGGAGCAGAAAGGCATCATGGTAGCCAGAATGAGCGCCAGGCAGTCGGCCACCTCGCGGCTGGGCGCGCAAGCCAGAGCGGGGGTCAAACCTGCGTCACAGAGACAGAAAAAGGGGGGGGGGGGGTTTTTTTTGGGGACGACACAAAATGGCCGGGAAGCAGAGATGGCGAAGCAAGAGACAAAAAGAGGGACGAGGCGGCATTCGTGTTAGTGTTTCAGCGGTGCACAAACATACAAAAGGGGGGGGGGGGCTGCACAGTTCAGGCATGCAATAGATGGGCAAAAGTATTAGGCCACCTCTTAATCGACGAGGACCGCTGAGTTCCCAGTTGATCATCTTAGCAAGATGTTTGTATGTGTCCTACTTTATGCGACGCTCCTTCATGACACGCCTGGATGAGTTTGCTGTGGAAGAACTTTTGTCCACCATTTGTCACGCAAGTTGCACTTGGTCAACTCAAAAAAGGCAAACTAGCACCTTTGACTCGATAGACATTGAAGATTTCACCAATGGCTCATGAATAATTTTGCATTCATTACAATTAGTAATCATTTTAGTGATAATTCAAGTACCGAATTGCAGGGTGTGTATTTAATAATTATTAACAAGATTTATTTTTTTCGTCCATCTATCCATTTTCTGATCCGCTTATCCTCACAAGGGGTGCTGCAGCCTATCCCAGCTCTTCGGGCAGTAGGCAGGGGACACCCGGAACCGGTTGCCAGCCAATCGCAGGGCACAAAGAGATGAACAACCATTCATGGTCACACTCACATCTGGGGCCAATTTAGAGTGTTCAATCAGCCTGCCATGCATGTTTTTGGAATGTGGGAGGAAACCGGAATACCCGGAGAAAACCCACGCTGGCCCGGGGAGTACATGCAAACTCCACACAGGGAGGCCGGAGCCAGAATCGAACCCACGACCTCTGCACTGTGAGCGCGACTACAGCTGTACTTTGAGTGAAAAATTCCGAAAAGCTGAGTGGGGACCCCCATAAAAAAAGTAAATTCGTGCATAAAAGCTCAAGTGAACATTGACGGGGAAACTAGCATGCACACAAAGGCAGATGCGTCTTGCCGGGCCAGCCAGGTCCATCCTACCATTTTCGTCCACCGTCTGAATGTTGGCTCCTCCGGACAGAAGCTGCTGGACTGCCTGTTTTAGTCCACTCCGAGCCGCCAAGTGGAGAGGCCTGATGAGGTTTGATGTTGTTAGAGGCAGTGTCAATTTTGTGTGCGGCTGTTTTCCCCATTTCGCCCGAAAGAAACTCACGTTTGTAGCGCAGCGTTTGTGGCGTTTATTTGTGCAGAATCGGGTAACTTCTCCAGAATAAGCAGGACACAGTCTTCCTTTCCCTAGAAGTGACCAAATACGGGAATGGGTTAGACAGGTTAACAGCAAATTTTAATCACAGATGGCTTTATGTATCCATGAATGTAGTTTATATGCTGATTTCAAGAATGTCTTTGTTTTTTTTAGAGCACATCATGTTTTTGAAATTTTCATTTATTCTTTTTAATTCTGACACAAACTATTTGCACCATGTGGATCTTACCATGCGTTGTAATTTATAGCTATGACGTTTCATAAAGTCGATTAGCAATTCAATGTGTTTTGATGAGGTGTCCAATAGACCCCCTAGTGGACACTTACATTTTTACACGCTAGATGCAGGGCAGTGTTGCTGTCTTTGTCGGTGTAATGGAGGCAGTTGTTGGTGCTGTTCAGCAGAACCTCTGGACAGGACACACACAAAACAATTCAAGAAAAAAAATTCGCTTTTGTTGACACGTCCAACACAATGGGAAGTCCAACGCATACCAAGGGCCCCGACGCGACCCTTCTCGGCCGCCATCATCAGCGCCGTGCGACCCAATTGGTCCACAGCGTCAACTGGCGCGTCATGGGAAAGGAGCAGCTGGACGCAGTCTACGTGACCCGAGAAGGCCGCCGCATGGAGAGGTGTCCTGAAGGACGAAAGAGGAAGAGCCCATTGAAATTCCATTAATATTAATCTATTCCAGGACCCACAAAAACATTTTTGTGATGTGTTTTAATAAAGAAAAAGAGCACTGCACTAAGCAAACTGGAGGAGAAAAACATGCACGCGTGCACACACACACACACACACACACACACACACACACACACACACACACACACACACACACAC